GCGGGGAGGACCTTGGACTTTCCACAGGGCAGGGAACCCTGACTGCTCTTTGGATTAGAGAGGGAGGGGGAGAGGAGTGGGGGGAGGGGGAGAAGAGTGGGGGGAGGGGGAGGGAAATGGGAGGCTGGGAGGAGGCGGAAACTTTTTTTTTTCTTATTCTCAATAAAAAAAATAAAAAAACAAAACAAAAAAAAAGGGTCTTTGTCTGGCTTGTGTATCAAGGTAACATGGCTTTGTAAAAAGAATTCCAAAAAGATTCTTCCTTTCTATTTTACAGATTAATTTCAGGAGTATTGTTTTCAGGACTGATAAAATTAAGTACTACCAAGGACACAAGTAAACTCCACCCAGTGCTTAAGGCGGTTCACTTTGGAAAGCAAGTTCAATATACATACAACTAATGATATAGGAATTTTACTCCTACAGAAATTGTGCCATACTTACAAGAGACATGTTCAGTCATGCTCATGATACCACTGCTTGAAATAGCAAAAGAAAACAGTAAAAACTATAAACAAGCAAAAGCTACCAATAGTATAACAAAAAAACTTGGAAGCACCACAAATATTATCAATAATATTAATATCATAATATATTCATGAAATGCTACTCAATAATAAAAATGAGTATTTGGATATTAACATGGGTGAACTTTAAGAACACAATAACGTATAAAAGTTAGAAAACATACAATGAAATAATAACATGAATTCAAAAATTAAACAGTAGAGATATACAGAGTTGGGGAACTATGAAAGAACAGTGGACAAATTATGACCAAATCAGACTGACTATGACACAGAGTGAGGGTGTGCACAGTCCTGGGAGAGGCACAGAAGAGGCAGGTCACTGGGGCTTGCCCGCCAGCACTGTGCACTGGGGTTTGCTTTATTATTCTTTAATGTCACAACTGCATACTGTGTACTTTGTTGAACTTAAGATATTTTAAATGAGGACGAGATTAATTTACCACATTTTCATTTAATTTTGGTAACAAAATACTTTATTGGTACCACTTAATGTAAAAATATAGTGATGCTTTCGTTGTCTAGCTTCCATCTCCAAATAAAAGCTAGCTTTAAAAAATAGGAGTTAAATAAAAATCATTTATCTCAAAACCAAGCCAAAATTTACCTCTGCAAATTAATTAAGTTTCCTAATTTTAAACACCATACCAGGGTCTTTACAATGCAAGTGCACAAAGGAGACGCTGGCTTTTCCTACTCTGCAGAAAGCACTTTGTACATTTTAACCCACCTACACACTACCCAGCTAGAACCCTCAACATCAGTTATTATGAAATTGATTCACTTTAGCACCTAGAAATTTGGCATCTGTAACATCTGAAAGTGTATGACTTACTGAAAAAAATGACTTTTTCTGAGTTTTCATGGGTTATATACGAATAGTAGGTGCCCTTTAAAAGTCAAGGGCTGAAAAAATTATGTATGCCTTTTACTTCGTCTAGTAAATGGCTCAATGATAAAATATCCATATGATAAATATTATAGTACAGTCCTATCAGAATATAATTTCTTATTCCTCTGGTCTCATTAATATAATTTACACTTCAATTAAAATAACAGTCAATCTGTACATAATTTTTTAAAGTACTCCATAATTCATATTTCTATCAGATTATTTACTTCCCTTTTTTCAAATCAGAGTGATCTTATTATACAATCCATTAAATTGCTTTTTTTCCTATGAAATGCCTTCAACTGGAAGTATAATACAAATGCAAACACAGCTGTGGCAAATATTAACATATTAGAAAATAAATATATCTGTACCTATGCTAAATAAGACAGTGCAAAACAAAAGCCATACAAAACCATACTATAATATTCGTAACTTCTACGCCTCTTCAGGAAGGCTGTGATGCCTCTGGCTTATATTAAGATGATGCTCCCAAACCTAGCTATTTTCCTGCATTCCAATGTAACAAAATGATTTGTTTAAATGCTTCTTCATTTACTTGTTTGTTCAAAACAATCTAGCAGTTTTGATTATGCATTTTGAAGATGATGATAATATAATGATATATCTTATTTATAATCAAACCGTAGATTCTAAACTATATATACTGTATCCATTGGCTTAAAGGCAGAGATTTAAAGGTAAAGCAACAGGAAGTTAGGAGGCCCTGATTTCTGCCTTCCTGATGGGCTGGAGATTTCAGCTGTGTCATTTAATTATTCCCTGTAAAAAGCGTTCTACATGTCATCAACAGAAGCTCCCATTAAAAACTGGAGTTGAATGATCGACTTAGTGGTTAGCAGGTGATACTGCCTGCAGAGCATCCCTGTAGATGTGCCGACTAACACAATGTCAGCCTAGCACCCCTGGGCCAATCAGAACACAGGTACCAGGCAGACTCTATTTCAAACTATTTTGGGAACAAATACCAAATTTCATTTTGTCAACTGTTTCTGCTACAGTACTCTCACAAAACTGGCTTTGCATCAAAACACCTGTGTTTTTTTTCTCACATCAAGCTGAACTACAAATAAAATTCAGTAAGAACATGAAAAATAAACAGTTTTTCTCTGGATGAGGCACAGAATCTCGATTTGGATTAAGGCTGAATAACAGTACTGGCTTGTGGTTCTGACTTCAGTGTGTTGATGGCTGTCACCCAGCAGCGTCACTGTTTGTTCTGTACGCCTGTTTGCGAAGATGCATCTCTATTTCCTCCCTAAAGACCATCATTCCCAGGTGGGAGTGAGAAGCCTCGTTCATGGCTTTGGACTGGATGCACATCCGGTACTGCTCGGGTGTCAGCTCATCTGCACAGTGTTTCTCATGCCAGAGGTGGAAAAGACCAGGAACTGGAGTCCGAATCACAATGAGATCACCATGTAAGTATTTCCGGTAGAGATGAACATCTTCTCCACCCCAGCCTTTTACTTCCAAGTCGAATCCACCTGCAGGAAGGAACAAAGCTGCCACTTCAAGGGTCTGGCAGACACAGCACAAACAAGCGTCTTAACATGAAATGCTCTGCTTCAGCTGAGATGGCACCGTACAGCACAGAGTGACAGCACACGAGGAGGCTTGTGGAACCCTCACTGCAGCGTCCAGCCCCATCTCCCAACCAGCCATATACAATTCTGCTCCAACTGAGACTGACCTCTGCGAGGACTTAGAAGGACATAGTGTAGGAAGGACTTGGTCATTGGGGACCTATGCTGGATGCAGACTTTCCAGTGGGGCTCCTTTTAAGTCACCTGTGCTCCAGCCTGTAACCCCACTGGTCTGTAAGGAAGCCTAAAGAATTCAATGGAGTGAAGCGGTGGACTGTATCTCCGTTTATCCTTGGGGTCTTTGGAGAAAGAGTAAATATTACATCTTCTTTAGGAAGGAATTTTAGCAACAGATGGTTTGAAGTCATAAGAATGAACTGGGATTGCTGAAGGAGTTCAGAAGAAAAATAAGGCCCAGGTTTAAATGCTAAGAAATACCAAGTTTTAGAGGTTAAACAGGCAGAAACAGGTAAATCAGCAAGAGGCTGAGACGTGAATTTGGGCAGGGGAGAAAACTCTGGAAAATGTGCCAAGACAGTAGCCAACTGAAAAACATATTCAAGAAAGAAGTTGCCAGGCATGTGTTAATCAATTAAAAGACTTTAATAAGAAGGTGAACCCAAAGAAAAACATATAGTTATCCTCCTGGATATTGGAAGTAGACAAGATTGCCGGGAAAAATTGGGAACTTGGGGGTGGGGTGGTGATGTGGGAGTGTCATATATCAATCTGTTGATTTCATTGGTTAATTAATAAAGAAACTGCTTGGCCTGATAGGTTAGAACATAGGTGGGTGGAGTAAACAGAACAGAATGCTGGGAAGAAGGAAAGTTAGGCAGACGCCATGCCGCTCCTCTCCAAGGCAGACACGATGAAGCTCCAGCCCAAGATGGACATACACTAGAATCTTCCTGGCAAGCCACTACCTCATGGTGCTACACAGATTATTAGATATGGGTTAATCAAGATATGAGAGTTAGCCAGAAAGAGGCTAGGACTAATGGGCTAAGCAGTGTTTAAAAGAGTACAATTTGTGTGTTGTTATTTTGGGCATAAGCTAGCCAGGTGGCCAGGAGCTGGTGGCAGGAACGTTCCTGCCACCAGCTCCTTTCAACAAAATGGCACCCAATGTGGGGCTCAAACCCACAACCCTGGGATTAAGAGTCCCATGCTCTACCGACTGAGCTAGCTGGGCGGGAGCTGGGCAGGATGAAAAGCAGGCCTGCCTACAGCTCCTTCAACAGGGTGGGATGGGGGTAAGGGGAGATGGGGAGAGAAAAGTGAGAAGGGGAGGATGGGGAGAGCTTGGGGGAATGGGATGGTTGGGATAAAGGAAGGGTGGATATGGGAGCAGGGAAGCATATTTCTTAATTAAGGGAGCCATTTTAGGGTTGGCAAGAGACTGGCAAGAGGGGTTCCCAGGGGTCCAGGGAGATGTCCCCAGCTAGTTCCTTGGGCAGCTAAAAAGAGGGAGCCTGAAATGGCCCTATCCTATAGCCATACTGATGAATATCTTGCATATCATCATAGAACCTTCATCTGGCGATGGATGGAGATAGAGACAGAGATCCACACTGGAGCACTGGGCTGAGCTCCCAAGGTCCAAATGAGGAGCAGAAGGAGGGAGAACATGAGCAAGGAAGTCAGGACCACGAGGGGTGCGCCCACCCACTGTGACGGTGGGGCTGATCTAATGGGAGCTCACCAAGGCCAGCTGGACTGGGACTGAAAAAGCATGGGATAAAACCAGACTCTCTGAACATGATGGACAATGAGGGCTGCTGAGAAGCCAAGGACAATGGCACTGGGTTTTGATCCTACTGCATGTACTGGCTTTGTGGGAGCCTAGCCTGTTTGGATGCTCACCTTTCTAGACCTGGATGGAGCGGGGAGGACCTTGGACTTCCCACAGGGCAGGGAACCCTGACTGCTCTTTGGACTGGAGAGGGAAGGGGAAGGGAGTGGGGGGAATGGGAGGGGAGTGGGAGGTGGGGAGGAGGCAGAAATTTTAATTAAAAAAATAAAAAAAATAAAAGACTTTAAAAAAGAAAAAAAAATCAAAGAACACTGGGCATGGCAGTACACACTGTTAATACCAATACTCACGAGGTAGAGGCAGGGGGATATTAAGTTTGAGGCCAGTCTGAGCTACAAGAGCCTGTCTCAAAAAATAAAGGCTGTGAATGGGGTGCAGCCAGGTCCAGTCTCCATACTGAATAAAGTAGAGAGAAAAGAGAGTGCCAGTGGACCTGGCAGCACACGTTATAAGCTTATTAGCAAAATTCTGAAGAAGTAGAAAAAGCAAAGGCCAACTGTAGTGGATGACAATGAATGAGATCCTTTTAAAATTGGATTCAAGCTAAACAACTGATGTTTCATGCTAAATGTGGGCTGTACCATTCCATGGGCTAAAGTCCTGAATTGAATAAAAAAAAAAATCTAAGTACAAGATTACTCTCTGATTCCTGACTGGGAATAAAATGTGATCAACTGCTCACAGTCCTGCAGCCATGCCTGCTGTGATGTACCCTTAAACTGGGAGCCAGAATAATCTTTCCTTAAATTGCTTCATGTCAGGGATTAGTCACAGCAAGGAGAAAAATATTACATCAGGTAATTTATGTTTAACCTTTTCAGGAATTCCCATCTGAATTAATACAGTTTAGAAAATTCCTCACAGACATGCCTGGGCATGTTTTGCTTCCTTGGTGGTTCTAAATCCCTTCAAGTTGATATTCAAGATGAACCATCATATTATATAACCCAGCAATTCTACTATATGAAGGAGAATGAAAATCATATCTATACAAATATTCAAATATTTGTATACAAATAGCAAAAATATTCATAATAGCCTAAATAAGAACAGAAACCAAATATCTATCTATAGACAGAAAAAATGTAGTATAACCATACAGTGGAACATTAAAATGCTCAGAAGAAGCAAATCAATGGAAGAAGATTAATGAGTTTGGGGGTGTGGGGATTGATGGGAAATGGGAAATAATTACTAATGGGTATAATGTTTCTTTTAAGGATGGTAATAGTCTAAATTGATTGGTGATAACTATACAACTTAGGTTATATGGGGGGGGGGCGTCTTGAATACCCACCTCCGCACCCCCTCAGGGCTCAAAACAGTATGTCTATGGCAAGCGAAGATCTGAGGGTAAATGAATTAACTCACATCCGTTACTTCTACACATTCTTTTTGTTTTGTTTTGTTTTGAAGGCAGGGTTTCTCTGAATAACGGTCCTAGCTGTCCTAGAATGAGCTTTTGTAGACCAGGCTGGCCTCAAACTCACAGAAATCCACCTGCCTCTGCCTCCTGAGCACTGGGATTAAAGGTGTGCACCACCACTGCCTGGAACTTCTACATATTCTTTATTCCTTGGGTGAGGAAGCAGTGAGAGAAAGGGACAATCTCCACCAAGTTTTTAGTTTTTACAGTCAGGGTTAAAAATTTTTCATAGGCAAAACAACAATATCAATATGCATTTCAGAGTCACAAAAAGGCAGGTAGAACTCGACAAAGCAGCACTCCAGGAGGGGTCAGCATCCAAGGAAAAATACCTGACATTCCAAACCATTAGATAAAGTCACTAAGGGGCCCTGAAACACACCCAGACCTGCTTGTCTGGTAAGGGCTGTCTTCCTATCTTTTTGAAATTCCTGTGTGGTCTGTTAGCAAAGGTAACTGTGGGGGCTAGACTCTAAGTAAATTTGACTCTTGGAACAGAGAGTGAATGTTGTCTCTCTAAGGCCTCATGGAAGGTCATTCTGTTGCCCATGCAAGAGGAAGTTACACTGCTGAGGTATTTTGGGAATGAATTCCATTTTGAAGGGAGAACTGTCATTATTTCACATGATTTTTAAGAATAGACAGTGACTTTTCCAAAAGACAAGTGTTCCCACAGCTCTGCTGAACGTGTTCTCCATGTGGAGGGTCCATACTCCCGTGAATTATTCTAATAGATCTGTCAGCTGTACATTTACTGTTTAATACTTGTGGGTGCATCACAATCTGTAAATCAATATAGTACTCAAAACATTCACAATATGGTTAGTGTACTAAACAATATTTTTGAAGATAGTGAAAAAGCCAGGGAAATGGCATTTGTCTTATCATTACTTCTTGTTTTTCCATTATTAAATTATTATAAAGAGACAGAGTGGAAGAACTTAACAAATGGCTGATTATAAAAGTGAATTCACTATGGATTAAGAGTATCACAAGAATCATCCTATGGCTTCCAGTACATAGTGGAGATGGAGATGCTAACTAACCTGGGGTCACAGGATCCACTCTTCTGGTGTGGGAGGTCCTTCTGTCTATGTCTTTTATTGGTTAATGAATAAAGAACAGCTTTGAGCCCATGGCAAGGGCAAAACAGAACTAGGTGGGAAAAGTTAGATTGTATGCTGAGAGAAGGAAGGCGGAGTCAGGGAGATGCCATGGAGCTGCTGCCAGAGTCAGACATGCCAAAACTTTGCTGGTAAGCCACTGCCATGTGGCAATACACAGATTAGTGGAGATGGGTTAAATTAATATAAGAGTTAGCCAATAAGAAGCCAGAGCTAATGGGCCAAGTATTGATTTAATTAATACAGTCTCTGTGTGATTATTTCGGATCTAAGCTAGCCAGGCAGTTGGGAACCAACAAGCAGCCCTTTCGCCAACACTCCTCTTTGTCACTTGGCCTTCTGTGGATATGACTGAAACTGAGGGAAAAGGAGATTAAGCCAGGCCTCTATCACTTCTCGGGGCTAGGGCTAGACAACTTTCCCAGCTCCCACTTCAGAGATGCCCCTTTCCCTCTGTCTTAATACTGGGGTCAGAGAATGAAAGAGGGCTTCACCGTGAAATGAAGAAGAGGAAGCCTTTGACTAGACACAAGGGTACAGTTAGAGAGCTCTGGAAGAGCACTCCAAACAACTGTAACACAGTAACATGCAATCAAGTGTTCTCTTAGAACAGTGTTGTTATGGTAGAAGTAAAAAGATGTGTTCCCCGAGGGATAGCAGGTCCCAGGCTGGTGGGAGACAGAGACCTATTAGGCACGCCATGCAGAGAAAGTGTGTATTTATTTAGTGGGTTATGGAGGGGAAAGGGAAAAGGGAGAAGAGCAGAGAGAGGCAGAGAGGGAGAGAGAGAGAGAGGGAGGGGGGAGAGGAGGGAGAAGGAGAGAAGTGAGGAGAAGGGAAAGAGGCAGAATCTGGAAAGAAAGGAGTTCAGGCTAGAAGCAGAAGGAAGATCTGCTTGCCTCAGTGGACAGGGGAGGGAGTGGGTGGGGCTTGCCTCTTAAAGGGACAGAACAGACCATTACAGGTGTGTTTTTGTTTTTTTAAAAAAAAAAACTGGTAAATTTAGTTTTTACCTTTATAACCTCACTTTTAGTAATCCAAGACATTAATTATAAACTTCACTTTACCTTTCATATATAACCCTTATAATTTAACCAAAAGTACTCAAATCTGATACCTTCTGGAAAAATGCCATAGGCCTAGAATAAAGACATCAAGTTCTATATCCTTAGATATAATATATACCTACCAACGTTCAGGAAATCTGATTGATATTGACAAGTCATCCCAAAGCCAAAATCTCTCCAAAAACCAGAATCCTTTTTATGAACCTTATGACAGAGAAGAAAAAAAATTCAATTTAATTTTTAATAACTAGAAGTTTTAATCAATAATTAAACAAGTCATTTTACAAAAATACTTTGCCTATCATTTGTGACTAACCAAGGATCATATGCACTTAATTCTGTTGAGACCTTACAAAACAGATACTCCAATCTGTGTGAGCACAGGATCCTACCACTTGTGATTTAACTGAACTTGAACCCTGTGCAGAGTTCAGGCTGAGGTCACTAATAACAAAACAGCAGGGCTCTGACTTCAAAGGACTCAGGATAGGATGTGCATATACACAAGCTACCATGACCATCTCTACACACAATACTCTATTTGGGTGTTTACCAGCACCCATTTCTCCATCTTCTTTGGTAGAGCTTTGTTCTGGTGATTATTTGATTCTATACAGCCTGATTTTTTAATTAATTAATTATTTTTAAAAACAATCTCTTCTCATTTTGCGTATCAATCCCAGTTCCCAGTTCCTCTCTCCTCCTGCTCCTTCCACCTTCCCCCCATTTCCTCTCCTCCTCCTGCTCCTTATACCTCCCCTTGCCCCATCCATTCCTAGGAGAAGGTAAGGCTTCCCATGGGGAGTCAACAAAGGCCCTCCCTATTATATCTACAGCCTATAAGTTTTAGGAAACGCTTGTCTGTCACAGCAGGGCATAAACACTTTGTACCTGTGAGACAATTTTGCCCCACTTGGTGTAAGTTGACTGCTAACAGGTATGAAGACAGAATTCAAACCAACTAGCTATAAAGGGTAGGCTGTTGGGCACATTAGATCCTCTTACTCTTAGGAGAGTTTATAGAAAAGATAACTTGCTCTTTTTATGTGGCATAAACAAGGGGTCAATAAACTACAGCCCTGGGCTAACTCTTGCCTGCCACCTGCTTTACAAATAGTTTTATCATGACAAAGATACATGGGGTTTTTCACAATACAGGAAGAGAGAGCTGCATAGTTATAACCTATTTTGATATCTCTACCCCACCCTAACTCTGATTCTATACATACTATGATGGTGAAGTGAATATGTTCTTAAAATTTAGTTTCTAGAAAAACTCTTCAAATGTTATCAGTCTAGAGAAAATGATTAATTAGTTCTGTTTCATCTTGAAAGTTATTTAACCTTTTAATCCTAGTTGTTAATACTTACTGCATTGATATATTGCTACATGAACCAGGCAGGCTAACCATAACCTAAATATCTAGCCCCCACAGTCTCACCCCCAGGAATGCCAGGTCCACAAAGGTAGCAACATGGGCCCCTCCTTGACTGTATATAGTAACACACATCTACCATTGCTACAGTTAAGACCTGACCTTTCCTACTTTCATTCCTTTCTTTTCCTCAGTTTCTACGTTTGGGCCAACAACAAGCTATCAGTTCCATGTCTAAATAATACCTAGACATCTATGCCATTAATGCCTTTTGCACAGCTATAACTATACCCCTGCTGCAAAAGCCCTACTTGCTGCTTCTTGCCAGAGTTACAGTCTTTCTTCTCTCTAAATGCTAGCACACACCATACAATGCAAACTCCTTCTAGGGATTCCACTAATTCTATGTGACCTAGCCCAGCACTGTGCCTCTATGCTGCCAGCTGTGCTCCTTAGCTGCTTCCTTCCAGCCATTACATGGCCGTCAACAGCTTCATCCCTGAAATCACTTCATCAGTCTTTACAACTTAGTTTGTTTTAATCATGCTTATTATCTGACTTTATTTTTGTCTTTCCAGAATAAAGATCTTGTGAGCAAGGGAGGGTTATGAGTGCTGTGGTTCTCAGAAAAATACAGTGCTTGGCACAGAACAGTCCCATACTATTTTAGAAGAGCTCATATAACAGAGGCAGTCTGTGCAGTGCCTCAGTAACCATGGAGCACACCGTCTGGGCCCCAGTCTGGTTCATTCCCCAGATACAACAGTAGCACAGCTGTGCTCTCTCATCTGTCCAAGGGCGCCATGAAAGCATCCACCACAAAGGTTGTCAGGAGGATTAAAGGGTTGACACATAGGCCAAATGGAGCAGTACCATGCACACAGGAAAGGGCATGTAAACACTAGCTGCTATTCCTATCCAGGCACAGTGGTACACACTTGTGATGCCCAGTACTTGGAAGACTGAGGCTTAAGTCGGAGGCCAGCTTGGGTTAGACAGTAAATTCAAGGCCAGCCTTAGGCTATATAGTAAGATCCTGTCGGAATAAAGAAAGGAAGGAAGGAAGGAAGGAAGGAAGGAAGGAAGGAAGGAAGGAAGGAAGGAAGGAAGGAAGGACAATAAAACAACATAAACAAAAAGTCATCTGGACATATACCCATGTCACATGTCTTGTTTTTTGTTTGTCTATTTGTTTGTTTTCAAGACAGGGTTTCTCTGTGTAACTAACTGCCCTGACTGTCCTAGAACTTGTTTTGTAGATCAGGTGGGTCTGGAACTCACAGAGATCCACCTGCCTCTGCCTCCCGAGTGCTGAGATCAAAGGCGTGCACCACCACTGCCCAACTACACATTTCAGTTTCTAATGTTCTGTGTCCTCTATACTTACACTTTGGTATTTATTTACATTTCATGCCCTCCTCTTGGTATATAATAATCACTATAGTAACTACTATTAAATTTCTTATTAGAGTTTTGCTTGTGTTTAATGTTGTCAGTTTACTGCTTGCTATTCTAGGCTCTGATTATCTGCTCGGCGGAGATCCCAAGAGTAGATATTACTGATATCAGAGATGAATCTGTTCAAACCTGAACCCAGAGAGCTGGCCTACATTCCCAAGCCTCGCATGCACGGCTGTGATTTTTTTTTTTTTTTTTGGTTTTTCGAGACAGGGTTTCTCTGTGGCTTTGGAGCCTGTCCTGGCACTAGCTCTGTAGACCAGGCTGGTCTCGGAACTCACAGAGATCCGCCTGCCTCTGCCTCCCGAGTGCTGGGATTAAAGGCGTGCGCCACCATCGCCCGGGCTCGGCTGTGATTTTTAAAAGAAGTAATTTCTAGTAAAAGTTGACTAATTATAGTTGTGAATTACTGTCAACTTTTAATTTTTCTATTATATGTGGTTATTGTTTATTTTTAGTATCACTTCAAATATTAAATAGATGAAGTTTCTGTCTCAAATACAGAGACTGAGTTTTGAGTTTTTAATGACACTGAATTTTAAGAAGTTTTAGTCAGGTATTTTGCAGGATGCCCCTCAGGGCGAATTTGTCTGAAACTTTTCTAGTGATTCTCTTGAGACTGTAAGTGAGGTGCCCTATTTCTTGTATCACACATACCTGGGATACACAAGATTGTTGGTGATGCTATCCTTCATCATTTCTCCTTCTATTATCTGGGTTGTCAGGCTCACACAAGGGCTTTGACCTGAGTGAGCTCACCCACCCTCCAGCAGCAATTTTATGTCATCTTACATAAACTTCTTAAAACGTATGTCTGCTAACTTGATTTCATACTGCAATACTCATATATCCATTTTAATTATGAATTTATATATTTTTATTCACAATATATTTATATGATAACAGGCTTCATTATGACATTTTCTCACAAATAATTTGTTTGGATCATATTCACCCCCATTACCCTCTTCCCCCACCACATATGCCCATCCTCTTGTTTTGTTTTGTTTTTTCTTATCATCCAGTAAGTTTCACTAGGGTTGTTTAGGACTGTAGATGCAAGGTGATTTACAGGAGCACAGGTGCCCTATCAGTGGCTGTACTACTGAAGATGTCTGTCCTTCCCTAGACATTCACTGTTAGAAGTCTGGGTGGGAGATTAGGTGGATGTGAGTGATCATTTGCCACTTTGCTCCTACTTGTATATGCATTCCTAACCAATACAGGCCTACACATAACATAAGGGACAGGAACTGTGTGTGTGTGTGTGTGTGTGTGTGTGTGTGTGTGTGTGTGTATGTGCTCACACTTGCTCTGCACTATCATTGCACATGGTGAATGAGGCACAGGAACACTATGTCCTAGCTTTACAATGCCTCTATAAACCATATCTTTTCAAACACTAAGTGTATTTAACATGAAGAAAAAGCTTATGTATGTATAGCTTAGGCAATCATGACAGGACTTGATGCATGCATGGCATTTGCCTTTCATAGCTTTCTACACCATTTCCAACAGTCTACTACTCCCTCAAAGTCGTTCAGCAAAGCAGTTTTAATTTCTAGTTAGTGGAGTTTAAAAATTAATTTTAGTTTTAGTATTACTAAAATAAGTTGGCAGAAATGTGACTATCCAATCAGTACCTTCTGGAACATGAGGGCTTTTCTTGCGGCTAAATGTTTTCTCCTGTCACTGTCACTTAGTTCTAAAGTGACAGAAATGAAGCCTTTTGATGGGAGTGGAGTGCAAATGGGTGCTATGCATGCAAATGCTATGGAACTGTGCTTGAAACAGCTAAGTTTTTTAACTGAAACTTTCTTCTATTTGTACAACAAACACAAAGGAAACTAGAAGAAATGATTGAAGCCTTCATAACCAAAGACATAAAGTCTCACCAGCTGCTGCTCCACTGGGGGTGGCACATCCTGGTTGGCATAAACGATGGCAGGATTGTAAAGACTGAACACGACAGGATAAAACACCTTTTTACCTATAAATAAAAATACAGGCTTATTTCACACAGAGAGGTTACAAATGAAGGACTTGTATTATTATATTTTTATCTTTTACTTAGGATAGTTTTATCAATACTGAAGATACAGAATATCATTGTCTATTTTATAACACATAATAGGTCAAACTATGAAACTGTAGCTGCAAAATAACAGGAAAAAACACATTAACGGGTGTAGCATGCTTATTCCTTTCAACTATGTGGAGGAACACAAAGATGTTCCCTCAGGGGATCCGTTTCATTGCTCTTTATCTTCTTCTATTCGCAGTAACAGATATAAATTAGCCTCTCATAAGCACCAAGAAATTCAGACATTTCTGTTCTTCACTCTTCAAACAGAGTTAATAAAAACAGTAAATACTTAGAATATCGTGTGAAGCATAGATATATAAAGAATAATAAAATAGAACTGCAGACAAATTTAAACCAAGATCTGGGAAAGTTGAGAAAACCTTTTCTCTCAAACTGATGGTACTCAAGGACCTTACCATTACCATCTAGACCATTTGCCCTCACTAAAGGAGCCCTTGCTATAAGCATCTTTGTTTTTTATACTTATAAATTTACAAATTTCTTTTATATCTACAATGTAATGCAATGTACTGTAAATCACTTTAAAATGCATAATCTGGAGACCAAATACTACTTGTACACAGACTTCTGTATGCCTGTGTAAGGTGTGTGCATGAGTACATTTTGTGTGTTTGTGTGTGTGTGTACTCATGTGTGTGTGGGGAGGGGCACATTATCTTCCTGAAACTAAGAACTTCTAACTCTCCCCTCTACACCACCTTTGGTGTGACTCTGACTCGAGTCGCTTACTTTCCATCAATTTCCAGACCTCCTTCTTTTGTGCTTCCTTCCTCTCTATGCCTCCATACCCACCTTAGGGTTCTAGGCATACTAGGCAGGCACCCCACCACTGAGATCACCCCAATCGACCCTCTGCATTTCTTTACTTTCCTTCAAAAGAACCACTGGAATCTGACTTCAAGAAAACAAAGGATTTGAACATCAGAGGTTCAACATTTCAATTCACTATTTATTGTTTCAATTAAATCATGCCTAATGTAACTTGTAAAAACATCCTAAGGTTTAATAAAAACTTGTTTTCCCTCAAATCAATGTGTCTCAACACTGGCAGGCAATGATACTCCATTAAGCTCAATGCTCAGCTCATTTAACAGTGTTTTACGCACCTGGCTCAGCATTTAACCGGCAGCTGTTAAGGAACTCGGCTGAGAAATATATATCAACATCGCAGAAAAACATCAAGACCTCTCCCTTGTCCCAAGCTTGGGCACCCACATTTAGTCCTCGTCCACGATTAAATTCTTCATTCAGTGAGATCAAGGTGTAATTGTGAAAATTAGACTCACTATGAGAAAAGCACATACAAGAGTTGGTAAGTTCCATTTAAAGTTTTACAATGTCCTTCCTTCAACAGAACTTACAAAATATATTTTATATTTCAAATAACTTACTGCGTTGGTTATATATCCACACAGGGTAAGGAACTGTTTAGCTCCATGTGTTTGCTCATTATCAGGAAGAGATATGGACCAAATGCCCACATCTGAAGTCACATGCTAATGGTATGGCATTTTAAAAGGCGCACTGCCTTCTGAGATCTTAAAAATGTACCATGAAAGAAACAGAGACAAGGAAAAAGAGCCATCGTTTCTGATAACTAATAATTCATTCTATATAAATGATGCACCCAGATCACTCCTCTAGCCTCTTTCAGGTCCTCAGACAAACACTCCTTCATCAGAGGGCTCCTCCCTGATAGCACATAGGAAGCAGGCTCTTTAATCTCTATCCTCCTCTTCTGCTGTTTCCCTCAGTATCATGGGGCGTCTTTGTTTGGCTACCTCCCCACACCATCAAAACAGATTATGTTTTCATTACTATGACACAATGCCCCTTACAGAGTACTAGTTCAATAAGTATTTGCTGAAAGAAGGAACAGTGTAGGCTTGTGCCTACAGTAACTGAATGTCAGATGGGGAACTTGAATTAAACTTGGTGGGATCCCAAAGTAATGGCAGGTAAAAAGGTTATTTCAAACGATCCTCAGAAGCAAAGAAAGTAGCTGGGTCAGATTACACATACGGAAACGATGAGGAGAGGGTCACACCAACAACTGTAAAAGAGGAAGAATGGGAGGAAAGCTAGACTGAGGAGACCTAGAGGAAAGCAAGACCATCCATTTCAGGTCACACAACTTTGTTAGTACCTTACATAGAAGGAGGAGTCAGCAGGGTTTTCTGCTAGGACAGTGGTTCTTATAGCGAAGCCCTCCAACCTGAACCCTCCTGGTAAGGCATCAATCAGATGGTAAGCTCTAGAGCTACACCTCAGAGTCGCTGACTCGGATGGAAGCAAGGGGTGGAGTTAGCGTCTATGCTTTAAAGAGTCCACTAGGTGCCGCTGGCACTGTTGCTAGAGATCCACGAAACAGAGCCATATGTGAGGACGGCTGCTCTCTTAACAGTGCAGCAAACTCGTACCATACATGGAGTGACCCCAAGAGCTCTGGGGAACCAGACCCTTCTCTCCACCTTATGGTATATAACTCTCTCCCTTCTTTTTAAGAAACTGCCCACTGCCAGCCTGGATGCCCTCATCACAGACTATCCCTCACTCTACCTACCCAATACCAGTAATTTCCTAGGGGTAAGGACTAGGCTCATGTGTGGCCATCTGTGAAGCCTCCACTCCTCTCAGCCATAATGACTGAGTAGTCCAAGGGTGAGCAAAACGTTCTTCCCTGGGATTTTCTTTACTGAAACTCTCTGATGATAAAGCTGAGAAGATGCAAGCCCAGAGCCACCAACAGCTATACCCCACCATGTGGAAGAAGCCAACCTGCAGCAGGCGAAGAAAGTCAACATGCAGAAAACAGACAAGACCACAAAAAAGTCTTCACGGTATTTAAGTGTCTGGTACCAGTCCTTCAGGTCCCAAAGTGATTTTGATTAATTTCTTCTCCGAATTTATTTGCAATAATCCTGTCATTTTTGGGAGATACCCAGGATTCTTTGGTGTTACTTATAATATCCTTAAGCAGGCTCAGGTTTCTAGCGTTTTCTACAGAGAAATCTTGACAACACAGGGAGGCGAGTCAGTGATACTCCAGGGTGAATGACTGGTGCTGCTAGGTGCTGAAAAGCAGTAAAGAGGGAAGTGGGGCACGCAGGAAGTGAGAACTGGGGTTAGGTAGTGGCAGGAGCAAGGAAGGGACACAAAAAAAGACCACAAACAGAAAGTGACTCACCAGAGACAACTAGAAATAAAGAGTAAAAGACTCTGGCTCTCAGGCATTAGGCCCAGGGCCTATGAAAATGGTCTGATTCAAGCTGAAAGCGGGCCACCATGATGTGGGGAGGGAAAGATGAGTCATATTTGTTCTCCAAGGCTGTGAGAGTCCTTGCAGCACAGGGACAGGGCTTTACCCTCTCAGTTATGCTCACTCTTCCAACTGCCTGAGTCAGAATCCCAACCACATACCTGGACATAGTAGGTGGGACCCAAAAGAAGCGGGCTCAATAATTCAAGAAAAATGGCTGCTCACAACTAGCAAAAAGGTAAAAAAGCCATGAAAGATATGCAGTTTACGGTGTAGTAAAAACAGACAACCAACCTAATAGTAGACAGCATATTTACATTAAAAATAAAAAGCATTACTCACATGACATTTTTAAAGAAGGAAGGATTAGCTACCACATGTAAAAGAACCATCAAAGGGGGTATCAGGGAGAAAGGCCACAATTTGTATAGAAAAATTTCATTTTAAAGAGTGAAAAATTATTAAGGAATTACCAATTCATTCATTCAAATCTGAGCATCTACTATGTGCCAGGTACTACACGAGTGACTGAGTTACAGAACGATTTTTTTCAGGAGGTTTGGCTATAAACAACAGAGACAAAGCAGTATGTACTGTGTGCTGCAGAGTCAGGTGGGGGTCTAAAGATACAGGAGACCTAAGTGCCACTGAGAGGGGGAAGCACGGGTATAGGAGGGAAGAAAGGTGAGGTAAGTTCAGACAGTATTAAAGTAGAGATTAGATTTCAAAAAGAGGACAAGATACAGCAAGACATCCTGATCCACCCCGGGCTGCCAGCTAAGCAATTAAGAAAAGACGGGCTTTAGAGTCACACGTGAAACGAAGAGCTTACTATCATTACCAACCACCCATGTACACGTGCTCAGACAACTTTACGTGTGTGTGATGTATATGTGTACATGTATGATATATATGCATGTACGTATGTGTGCACACTTGTATATGTGTGCAAGTTCATGTCAGAGAACATTTTTGTTTGTTTGTTTTTTAAGATAGGGTTTCCCTGTGTAGCAGTCCTAGCTGTCCTGGAACTAGCTCTTGTAGAGTAGACCAGGCTGGCCTCGAATTCACAGGGATTCACCTGCTTCTGCCTCCCGAGTGCTGGGATTAAAGGTGTGCTCCACCACGGCCCAGCTAGAGAACAATCTTGGGTATTACTTTGCCCTCCATGTTGAGACTGGGTCTCTGTGTTGTCACTACACACGTCAGCTGGTCTGTGAACTTCTGGCTATCCTCCTGCCTCTGCCTCCTGTCTTGCATAGGAACCATGGGGTTACAGATGTGTGCTGTCAAGCGTAGCTTCCATGGCTGTGAGGACTCAGGTCCTCAGGCTGGTGCAGCAGCACTCTCTGACTGAGCGTCTGCTCACGCAGCTATCTAAATAACTAACACTCAGACCCTGAAATTCGCATCTGTACACATGCTAACTTTTGGCATGCCCGTGGCTCACCAACCTTGTGATAGATTCTAGGATAGACTTGACTTTAGATAGTCCTTCTTTCCCAAAATATACAACTGTGAGATGAATCCTCTTGTCTTGATGAATGCAAACATCTCTAAGAGAATTGAAAGATAAAGTTTGTTCAAAAAAACATAGCAGGTACAACTTATTAAAAAAGAATCACATGACATTTTGGCAAGAAAATGAATAAGACACCATCAATACAGAATGAAATCACATGCAGCGTTAAGTAAACATGAAGGTGATGATCTTGCCCAATTGTTGAAGGCATTACAGCAAAGGCACACAGTCTGTGTGTCAGGAGGACAACCCTTCTGGGGGCCATGACAGCCATGAAATACTGCCATATTTCAAAACATTTCTGGAACATATGCAGTGGGATTTCTTTCAGTAGCAAATTAAAAACTATTTAAGGAAGTATGTCCAATCAATTCAGAACCACATAAATAAATGTCTCAGATCAAGAAACTGCTCTCAAGTGGAACAATTCAGAAGATTAGTCAGCTGCTGGCACAGAGCTGATTGCACCTGCCATCAAGAATGGCTGCCATAATGTAGGTCACCCAGTAAAGAGGACAATGTAACCTCTTAAAGCAATGCCAAGAAAGCCAATTTTTAAAAAGTTGTAGGAAATAATATCTCACAGGAGCTATTTCAAACAGGTAAAACTCAGAAGTATGGCTCCTGGATAGTATACCACAGAACATAACTTTTACCTATGTAAATAAAGATTAGGCTCACAAAGAACTAAAACTGTAAGTTAAAACATGGCAACTGTTAAGCTGAAACAAAAAAGCGGCATTTTCCTTTAATGGTCCTTCTACCACACTTTAACACTTAGCATTTTAAAACAGCACAATAAGTACTCCACTTCCTAAGATGGAATGTCCTCCTACTTTTAGTTGAGTGTTTGCATTTTTAAGTTTATTTCAATCTTACAATTCAAATAGCTCTCAAGAGATTTTGCTGGGAGAGGGAAACATTCTGGGTTTTCATTGTAGTGGTTTGCTGGTTTACCCATTTCTCAAAAGCCATGAAAATATGACGTAAGCTTAAAATATTCTTTACATCATCTTTAGACTTACATGGATTTTTATTATACATAAGTTTGGCTTCAATATAGTTAGGTTTTAAAAGGTCAACTTATTGGAGCTGGTGAGATGGCTCAGTAGTTAAGATCCCTGGCTGCTCTAGCATAGGATCCGAATTTGGTTCCCAGCACCCACATGGAGGTTCACAACCATCTAGAACTCCAGTTCCAGGGGACCTGATGCCTTTTTCTGGTCTCCATGGGCACTGCACACATGTGGTACACATATATACATGAAGGTAAAAACTCATACACGCAAAATAATCTTTTAAAAAAGTTCAGCTTATCTTAAATTCAAACACACAGTCATCAAATGGAGTTTCCAAGTAGCTGCCACCTTCAAACTGTCAAGAAACAATATACTATATTT